TTTTTATCATTACATTATGGAAAATAATGACCTTTATCACAATATGCTAATTTTTTGAGAAGGACCTGTAGATGTTTCAACAATGTGCAGGATGGGCAGAGCGCACTCTAGTGGTTTAAGAGAACTCTATGGACGTTCCAAAAGATTAATTTTTTTCCTGAAACAGTTAGTCCAAATGGTGTGATTGCCTGAACGTTCCATTTTTACCATCACTAGTTTAGATGGTACATGGTACTGGTTCACTTTATGAACTTTTCACAGCAAATCAAAGAACTGTTTCATTCAGCACTCCCCTCCTCCTCCTCTGTCTAGCAGGTTGTTTACAGAGTTTCCTTCAGAGGACACGTCAGAAGTCTTGTTTAAATGGAGGCACACTCACTCTGCCAGCAGGTTTCGCAGACTTCTTCACTGGACTGTACTCATCTTCAGATCCAGAATCCTTCCTCTTTCTGCCCCGGCCTTTACCTGCAACGGTTCATCACACGTTACAACACAAAGACTTAAAAAAACAAAATAAAATAAGAGAGCGTGTTGTACCTTTGAGGGCTGGTGCAGTTTTCTTGGACTCTGTGTCAGACTCAGAATCCCAGATGGATTTATCTGGTCTCTTTGCTTTTGGTGCTGGTGTTTTTTTAGGTTTGGGAGCTGCATCTGAGGACTTCTTAGCTGCAGCAGAAACCAGAACCTCTGTTAGAAACACCACCTTAAACAGGTAAGTTCTGCAACGACGTGATCTAGACTCAAAGCTATCTGCTGGTTCCTTAAATAACGTTAACTGATTTTTATGTGAATGTTTCTGTTCAGTGCCCTGAGACGACTTCTGTTCTGACTTGCAGTTGTTTATCTCCAGGTACTCCAGTTGCCTCCCAGAGACCAGAAACATGCACGCTAGGCTGTTTGAGAGTGAAAGAGTGAATGGTTGTTTGTCTTTTTTGTCTCTATGTGTCCCTGTGATGGACTGGAGACCTGTCCAGGGTGTCCCTCACCTCTCTCACAGTGACTGCTGGGCATAGGCACCGGCGACCCCCGCGACCCAAAAAGGAAGATGTGGGTAAAGGTAATGGATGGATGTATGGATGGATGTACAGTATGTATGTATGTATGTATGTATGAATTGTAAACACCACGAGGTCTAAGCACTGCTCGGGTCTAAACTGGACTACATGCGTGGAGCGCCCCCTGCAGGTCAAACACACACATCACCTTTCTTTGCTGCATCAAACACTGAGCTGCTGGAGTAAGTGGAGAACGCAGGACTGTTGTCATCGCTGTCGGACCTGGACCCCTCTGAAAAACACACACAGCAAAGCCCCTTGGTTGTAGTAGATCACTGAGTTTGTTTTATTTTGTCATGAAAACACAACTGCTACCAGGAGAAGGTGAAAATAAGGTTTACGATTGTGAGGAGCTCAAAACTTTAACAGAAGCAACATAGAAGAAAACTGTTTTAAAGAGAACCTCACAGAATATTTTGGAACTAGCCAAGCATCACCTTTAAAATGGTAAATGGACAGTACTTATATAGCGCCTTTCTATCTTATTTCAAGATACTCAAAGTGCTTTAAACTACAATCTGTGTCCTCATTTACCCATTCATACAGCACTCTACTAGATCTCTACAAAGCTAATTGAACAAATCATTCTAAAGAGACTAATCAGAGCTTTATCACATTCATGCACTGATGGGACACACATCAGAGGCAACAAGGGGTTCAGTGTCTTGCCCAGGGACACTTTGGCATGTGACTGCTGATGGATTCGAACCCCCAACTCTTGCATTGGAGGACGACTGCTCTAACCACTCAGCCACAGCCGCCCAAATGAAATGAAACACAATAACCAGAATAATTCTCAGTTATTCTCAATAATTTCTGAGTGGGAGGCTAAAGGCTCACAGTAGGAGGTGGAGTCATTTCCCAACATAAACTCACAGTTGTTCTGTGCAGTGAACATGTTGGTGCACGCAGATTGTTTAAACTCTGATCACTGATGAAAATGTCTCACCAGCATCACAGACATGAAAAGAGTTATGAAGTCATACTCAGTAGCAGCTGTCAATCAATTTGTAGGAGAGGGAGAATGAGACACAGGTACAGAAAAAAAGTAGTTATTATTAAATTGTTGCAGAACATTACTTTAAGAGTCTGCTCATCACTGAACAGAGTTTGTACATTTTACCATCAGCTGATGTTCTGCAGCCTGAGCTGAGATGAAAACTAGTCCTAAAGGAAACTCTACATTACATTTCTCAGGAAGTTTGTAAAGATTAAATCTACCCAGCAGGTGTTTCACATCAGCCTACTTTTTTTTTCTCTACTTACCTAATGTTTACTCTGTTTATAATGTTTAATCTAAATGCCTCTCTTCCAGGTCTTTATGTTTTATAACTGTAAGCCCAGTTGTTGGTTCGGTTAGTTCATGTGTCAAACTCAGGGCCAGAAGGCCAAATCTCAATAAACATTTATTTTCCCCCTAAAAAACATTATAAATGTAGCTCTCAGATTTAATAAAAAAATAAAGTAAATGAAATATAAATCTTAAATGTAGCTCTTAGATGTAGTTATCACATCTGTTGTAATGATCCTTGATGGTTTGTATTTGAAAAAGATGAGTCAAATAAATGTGCAAGTACAGTAGGCAAGTTAACTCTGTGCATTAAACATTTCCTTCATATTATTAAATAAATAAAAAGAACTGTGCTGGGTAAAACCACATTTCATATAACTTCAGCAAAGTTCTGTTTATTCAAAGTGAGCCTATAGATGAAGTTCAGTGTATAATAGTAGGAGAAACACTGAAGTTATATTTTCTATTTGTGTGTTCATTCAACCTTTATTTAGACAGATAAGTCACATTGAGTCTAGAAGACTCATTTACAAGTGAGATCTGTTTAGACAGACAAAAAGTAGTGAAACTGGACACATGTAGGAATTGGAGGCAAAAAAATTCCTATCAGAGTTGTTCTTCCTGCCTGAGAAGAAAAACTCTGATATTAAAAAACACCTCGCACAAACAAGCACATAGTGACATAGACATTCTGCATAGGGGGAGACGACAAGAGCAGTGAGCAATGTCCATGGACGCTCTCGAGGACACTGTAAGAGTTCTGATAAGGATAGAATAATCAACCAGTTTCCTCTGGTGAGACCCATAAACATTCTCGAGGTATGTCGGTGAATGGCCAAGAATAACGCCTATGAGAATCCAAGAGTCCTGAAATGATGACAAGCTTATTCAGCTGGTTTCATCTGTTTATCAGTTGGAAATTTCTCAGGGAGGGGGTGATGAGCGTCAGATCACATGTTCTCCAGGTGAATTCAGATAAGATGACCTTCAAGGCCAGCCAAGGGAGCCAAATTCAGATAAACACAGTTGTTTTGGGGAGAGGCAGAACTTAATGACATCTACCTTGAGTCTGTGTTGGTGCAAACAGTTCTGAAATGTCCAAATTACATGGCCACACCAATGGAACGTGCCTGAGTAAAATCCCTGAGATCTGATCCATTCTGCCCAAAGCATTTGAGTCCGGGTACTCGAGACACGAACCAAGCCATCATAAAGGCAAGCAGCGTGATTGGGTCCAAATTTGCTGCCAACGACTTCCTTGATTGTTGATAAGACCAGCAACCAGCCGAACCCAAAAAGCAGGACCCAGTTATCATAAATCCAATTAAATATGCATCCTTAAAATCCACAAATGGCAGCAGAGATAGACACATCATCAAGTCTTCAAGTCGATGAGATAACCAGCTGCGTGCGTGCCAACAGGGCATAAAGGCTCGCCTAAAGCCTGTATTCTCTTCAAAGAAATGTTGTAAATTGAGTTGAGGGACCAACTGATCAAAACAAGTCCATAATTATGGTTTGGAAGATATGCAAGAAAGGCTCAGAAGCAGTTTCACAGACAGACAGAGCAGCAAAGTGGAGAGGGAGGGGAAAAGCGTCCGACCTCAGCAAGAGCAAGTGGTGAAGTATACTTGATGTGTGAAATTACTGTATGAAGTAAGGACTGTACTTATATATAGTGCCTTTCGATCCAATGTTTCCCCTACGATTATACAAGCAGGGTGCCCCACCCTGTCAACAGAACTGAGCGCCCTGCAGGACTTCTAGTACTTGGGGTCCACTGTCCAGGAAAATGGGGAGTGTAGTAAAGAGGTGAAAAAGAGAGTCCAGGCAGGATGGAGTGGATGGAGAAAAGTTTCAGGAGTGATTTGTGACAAAAGGGTGTCAGCAAAGGTCAAAGGAAAAGTTTACAAGACAGTGATGAGACCAGCTATGTTGTATGGTCTGGAGACAGAAACATGGACAAAAAGACAGGAGAAAGAACTGGAAGTGGCAGAAATGCAGATGTTGAGGTTCTCCTTAGGAGTGACATGGATGAGGAATGAGATTAGGAATGAGAACATCAGAGGTACAGCACAGGTTGAACAACTGGGAGATAAAGTTAGAGAGGGCACACTGAGATGGTTTGGACATGTCCAGAGGAGGGACAGTGGGTATATTGGTAGAAGGATGTTAGAAATGCAGCTGCTAGGACAAAGACAAAGAGGAGATATATGGATGCAGTTAGAGAGGACATGGAGGTAGTTGGAGGGAGGACAGAGGATGTAGAGGACAGAGTGAGACGGAGGAGGATGAGTCGCTGTGGAGACCCTGAAAAGGGAAAAGCTGAAAGAAGAAGAAGAGAAAAAAAAAGAAGACAGACCCTGAAGAGCTTGGAACTTACCACTGTTGTTGCTCTTCTTAGAAAAGACTGACTTTGATGAGAAGATGCTGGTCACCTTTTTTTGAGCTGCAGGAGCAAGCCTTTTAAGAAGCAGAGTCATGATTCAGGATTTAATTTAACATCAGTGTAAACAACAACAACAACAGCAACAACAACAACAAGAACTACTGTGTCTTCCTTGGAATCTTACGTGGGCTTCTGTTTTAGAGGCGAGTAGGAGTCTTCATCGTCGTCTTCATCGTTTTGGTCACTGAAGCGGTCCTTTGAGTCGGAGCAGCCAAAGTCATCTTTGACAAACCTCGCCAGGGAGGAGGCCGCTTCGTCGTCACCATTTTCCTCTTCATCTGCCTCCTCCTCTTCCTCTTCCTCCTCTGAGAAGTCAAACGTGTATTTTGGCTTGGAGGCTGGAAAAACAGAGCAGAGTGGTGTCAAAGCAGTTCATTTTAGAAGCAGCAGTGTGATTATTGCAGATGTTTGCATCAGACTGAGCTGACAAAAACTCATCTGCTATTTCTGGCCTCAGGCACTTTGAGATCAAGGAGCTCAGGATGAATTACACTGATATGTGACATTACAGAACAATCCCTGTGACTAAAACCAAGAACAGTGTTTCCCCTACACATTATACAGGCGGGGTGCCCCACCCCGCCAACAAAACTGAGCACCCCGCCTACCAAACTGAACTTGCCCCTCCCACCCCTACCCGGCACTGACATATCACTAAGGTAGCGGCGCAAAATACAGGCTCTCTAGCTAAAAAGCCAAAGGCAGCACTCGCATGGCCTCTTCCCTCATGCTGAACGCTCCCCGCCCCCGCTCAAAAACTGTTAGTACAAGCTGCGCTCAGACATGTCTCCGTCACCCCATCAGCAAAAATCATGGATGAGATGAGCACCCCGCCATGGCAAGCTAACTAGGGGAAACACTGAAACATTACTATTTTAATTTTTGCTCTCATTTCCACTAGCCAAAACAATATGTAAAATGTAAAACACTGATTATGTTCATAGACCACGGGACAGATGATGTTCTGGGCTCAGAATCTGAGGAGCAAGCCTCCCTTGGTTTAGTTGTTAGGCATCAAAAACATCTGCTCTTTAATTGGCAGCATGTCACATACACAGAACTTGCATTAAAAACTGAAGAGAATAAATATTAACAAGCTGTGTTCACATTATTCATCTATGTTTTTCAATTTCAAATGTTAAAAACTTCAACTACTGTAGGATTTTACAAACCAGATTCCAAAAAAGTTGGGACACTAAACAAATTGTGAATAAAAACTGAATGCAATGATGTGGAGATGGCAAATGTCAAAATTTTATTCATAATATAACATAGATGACAGATCAAAAGTTTAATCTGAGTAAATGTAACATTTTAAAGGAAAAATAGGTTGATTCAAAATTTCACAGTGTCAACAAATCCCAAAAAAGTTGGGACAAGTAGCAATAAGTGGCTGGAAAAAGGAAATTGAGTATATAACGAACAGCTGGAAGACCAATTAACACTAATTAGGTCAATTGACAACATGATTGGGTATAAAAAGAGCTTCTCAAGAGTGTCAGTGTCTCCCAGAAGCCAAGATGGTAAGAGGATCACCAATTCCACCATTGTTGCACAGAAAGATAGTGCAGCAATACCAGAATGGTGTTACCCAGCGTAAAAGACTTTTAAGTTATCACCATCAACCGTACATAACATCATCAAAAGATTCAGAGAATCTGGAACAATCGCTGTGCGTAAGGGTCAAGGCCGTAAAACTCTACTGAATGCTCGTGATCTCCGGGCCCTTAAACGTCACTGCACCTCAAACAGGAATGCCACTGTCAAGGAAATAACAGAATGGGCTCAGGAATACTTCCAGAAAGCATTGTCAGTGAACACAATCCACCATGCCATCCGCCGTTGCCAGCTGAAACTCTACAGTGCAAAGAGGAAGCCATTTCTAAGCAAGCTCAGACGTTTGCACTGGGCCAGGGGTCATTTAAAATGGATTGTGGCAAAATGGAAGACTGTTCTGTGGTCAGATGAGTCACGATTTGAAGTTCTTTATGGAACACTGGGACGCCATGTCATCCGGACCAGAGAGGACAAGTATAGCCCAAGTTGTTATCAACGCTCCGTTCAGAAGCCTGCATTACTGATGGTATGGGGTTGCATGAGCGCTTGTGGCATGGGCAGCTTGCATGTCTGGAAAGGCACCATTAATGCAGAGAACTATGTTCAAGTTCTAGAACAACATATGCTCCCATCTAAACGTCATCTCTTTCAGGGAAGACCCTGCATTTTTCAACACGATAATGCCAGACCACATTCTGCAGCAATCACAACATCATGGCTACGTAGGAGAAGGATCCGGGTACTGAAATGGCCAGCCTGCAGTCCAGATCTTTCACCTATAGAGAACATTTGGCGCATCGTAAAGAGGAAGGTGCGACAAAGAAGGCCCAAGACAATTGAACAGTTAGAGGCCTGTACTAGACATGAATGGGAGAGCATTCCTATTTCTAAACTTGAGAAACTGGTCTCCTCTGTCCCCAGACGTCTGTTAAGTGTTGTAAGAAGAAGGGGGATGCCACACAGTGGTAAAAATAGACTTGTCCCAACTTTTTTGGGATTTGTTGACGCCATGAAATTTAGAAACAACAGATTTTTTCCCTTAAAATGATACATTCTCTCAGTTTAAACTTTTGATCTGTGATTTGTGTTCTATTCTGAATAAAATATTAGATGTTGGCACCTCCACATCATTGCATTCAGTTTTTATTCACAATTTGTTTAGTGTCCCAACTTTTTTGGAATCTGGTTTGTATATAAATATTTGTTCTTTGTCATGTATGATGAGCATTCCTCTGTCAGTCACTGTGAGTTTTAACAACAGCCTGACCGGTTCTGTTGGCTCTCTCTTAAACTGACCCTCACCATTAGCTACAGACTGGTAAGACACCAGTTTTGTCTCGTGGCCAAACAGGCTTATGGTCATCTAATTTAGAGCAAATTATCTTGGAAGAAACTTCTGATAAAGTTGGTGCTGTTAAAGTAAACCCTCAAGTGAAAGCAGCAGCAGTGAGTGGGTGTCCTGTAGACTAATCTTTGGTCAGATCAGTCATTTGATGAAACTACTTTTAAGAAATATCAAAACTAAAAAGCATAGTTTCCTCAAATGATAGGTGTGGTCAGTTTACAAATAGAATAAAATATTATATGATGGTGTCCATCATGGATTTTACTTGGCAACCCAATTTTTTATAATGACCTTACTAACAACCAGATGCAGCCATACCAAAATCAAAGTCTATGCCTCACTTATTTTCCATGTTATCATGCTAACAACACGCACAGACACACAGAGGATATTTCCAATCTCCCTCTTCTATTCAATTCAGTTCAATTTAGTTTATTTATATAGCACCAAATCACAACAAAGTTGTCGCAGGGCACTTTACAGGAACATTCACATACATAGAAAAGTCAATAAGTAAAGTTCTCTATCTAAGAAAGTAGCAGACAAGTTGAATCTTGGCTTCGTTGCAGTCTCCCATCCTGAGTAAGCACAACGGCAACAGTGGAAAGGAAAAACGAAAGTTATGTATGTAACTACGGTTTTATGAATCCCGGATGGCTGCCAGAGGGCGGTGCTGAAAGCACTGAATGTTCCCTTCGCGCATGCGCTGTTCGAGTAATAATACCAACGAAATCACAAGGGTGACATGGATGACCAATCAGAGGCTATATAGCCTGACCTCATCCGCAGCTCTGGGACACATCAAGGTTTTTCTACCATCAACTTTTATTATTTTGATACTTTGAAAGTAAGACTGACTCTCATTCCCAAAGCTGGACAGTAAGGAACCATGTTACAAAAATGAATAACAAAAATCTGTTATTGTAATTAATTGCAAACCTGTTATTTTGAGTTCAGCAAAGCTGAAAGACCCTTTTTATGAGAACCTTTCCATCTGACCTTTGAAATATAACATCTGAAGCGTTATGTGTATCTCTTCCGAAAAGGGAGGATTCGTCCTGCAGTCTTAAGTGTGGGAAAGAACCCCCTATTGTTCCTCAAGGACTTTTTTGCCGTCCCACGGTAGAAATTATTTTTCGGAACAATTTAAATTTCTGAGTTCTCCTGAACACAATTGAATGCTTTGCTGTAAAACTGCTATGAAATAACTTGTTTACTTCCTTTCTCAGTTCAGTACTCAGTTTAATCATATATAAGAGAAATTAGATGTAAAAACTGGTAATCAGAGGTTTCAACTGTTGTTTGTACAAGCTTAATGAAAATGTTTATGGATGAGTAAAAACTGCTTAGAAGTTTTGATTATCCTGCTGTTATATTGAGTATTTACCAAAGCAGAGTAAATTAGCCATTTATTTTTTTATAATGCTATTAAAGTTCAAATGAAACAGTAACCTAAAACAAAGGTCCACCCTTTCTGTTTTGATTGAGTCGACCATCAATATTGTAATGCCCTCTAAGTCAAAAAAAGTTATTCTGACGTTTAGTTTAGAGCAGTCTTGGGGAAGCTTTTGAAGAAGAAAGGTCAAGCAATCAAAAATTTATGCCAGAAGATAAGAAGTTCATGCAGAAAAGAGACAAGTGTTCCAGAGATTTGTCTCGTGTTTCAAGGAAGCACCAAAAGGTTCCTTGTCACCAGAAGGAGAAAACGCAGCCCTCCGGGAGCCCATCAACTGACCCCATTGGGAGCCAGATAACTATCGACTCCAGATTTCAGCTGATGTCCAGTATCGAGGGATATCCCACCTTTGACACTTAACTCATCTAAAGAGAGTCCCTGGTAACCCTCGGGCGGTTGAACTAGAACTTCATATTGGTAGGAACAGCTGCTCCTTCTCTCTGCTGGTGTCTGATGCCCAAGATAAGAAGTTGTCCAGTCTAAACAAAATTCATCATAAATTAGAATTAAGTTTTCCTAAATTGACAAATCACATCTAGTCAAAACACTTAATTTAGTTAACTTTACAGATGATAATTTACTCTGCTTTTGAACCTCATAATTCACCATATTAAAGTTTATAAGATAATTCCATAATCTCTTCTTGTGTTGTCAATGTAAAGCCATTATTCATTCTTCAGCTGTACTTATCATTTTGACCACTTATATTTACCAAAATCGATAATAAACCTCACAAAATTGTACTTTGACTCAAAGCGTTTTATTATATATGACATTTGAATTTAATACGAAAATAACTCACTAGAGCACGAAAACTCGAGTCTGATTTAATAATTTTCTTGCTTAAGAACCGAAAAGCAAGTGGTGCCCCTTTCAGTCCCTTTTAGTTCATATCTTAGATGTTATTACTGTTTTTCTTATACATTTTATTGTTGGATGTAACTGGGACCTTGTGTACATAATTTCGCTCCATCACATGT